AGTTTGTCTAGAACTAAACCCGGTCACTGTGTCTCCTGTTCAGGTGAATGGGGTGGACCTGAACGGGCGAACCCAGGAGGAGGTGGTGTCTCTGCTCAGGGCTACACCCATGGGTGGGGCCGTGGGGTTGCTGGTTCTACGCCAGGAGGATGCCTTCCTCCCCCGAGAAGTGGTACGTTTGTCACTGCCCATGCCTTCAACTCTTCATTCTGTCAACATAATGCGTTTTACATCATGACACAGTCGCCACCTCTTGCATGGATGAGTGTGGATCCTGGGTGTGTGCTGACACTTCCATATGAGTGTGTGTCTGTGTGCGCTCCTGGCTGTCACGAGTGCCTTTAATCCCCACGGTGAGTGCCGTGTTGTCTTCTCATTTCCGAGCTAACACAACACGCTAGCCGAGCATGCAGATTGATTGTCCCGCTCTGTCGCTGCACTCCTCTCTATTATCAAGCTGTGGCTAGCCTCCGAGGGGAAACCTGTAGAGCTCAATCTTTTCTCTTTATCTCCTTCACCCTCTCCTTTCCTCTTGCTTTTACTTTGTCTTCAGCCTTTCTTGATCTGTCGCCCTCCTCTATAGCTCCTTTCATTCCCCACTTCCCTTTCATTCCCTCGCTACGTTGGGTAACCTTCTCTGTCTCTGTATTTTCCGTCCCTCTTGCTGTGTTTTGCCTCCGAGCTGACTCGCTAGATTGATGGATGTGGGGATGAAGAGACAGACGCAGGGCAGGTAGTAGGCAGAGAGTGAAAAACACACTTGGCTTGAATATCAATCAGGCTGCGTCCTTACACATTACGCTGCACAAACAGCCGTGCAAATCTTTGTGTGTGGTTTCCGGATACCGCCGCCGCTCGCAAGTTGCGACTTCAATGATTCATGCAAACTGATGCTAATTTAGTCAGTTTTCTACAACTGCTCGCTTTCTTCAAGGTCGTGTTTTTACATGATGCCAGATGTTGCACTTAATTATCTTCGCGGAAAGGAAAGGTTTGATGTGCTGCACGTCTGGAGTTACCTCAAAGTTGTTTGATTAAGAAGTGAGCTCATAATGGCCGAGACGAAGACGAGGCAACACCAAGACTTAAGTGCTTTTTTTTTTTTAAGTGAGGGAAGAGTGAAGCCTGTTGGCGAGCTTTAAATCACGCTGGTGTTTACTCCACAGCAGCAGTCAATGATTCTCTGCTATCTTTCTGGCTCCACTAGCTGGCTTTAGCACACACCTTATTGAGTATTTCCTTGAGTTATAGCACCAAACTGCCTTAAATCCGTCCTCTGTTGTCATAGAAGTGGTCTCTCCCCTTACTGTCAGAAGCCAACCGGGGCTATTAGAGGCACAAACAGCCATTTGCTGGCGAGTTGTGTCAATCAAATGCCTGATTGGTGGCAATTATCACAGCAAGGGATGCAGATGAGGCTATTGGCTGGCTGTCGCTACGGGCGAAGGTGGATGAGACGAACTGCCGCGACGGTCAATACTCATCTTTAGATTAGAGCGGGGCTTTAAGTCCGGCTGACTCTGCGTAGTTGGTAGTTAGATGGCAGGATTTATTTGATCTGCGGTTATTAGCTGGAGAGCCTGATGTGAAAGAGCCGAGGTGGGACTTTAGGGAGATGAGGTCCAGTGCACAAAATGAGTCTCTATCTAAAGCTGGACTCACGTTCTCACAGGTCTTAGAGCTCATCGACACGAAGCAGCATCTCAGTTATAAATATAACAGCAAAACACAAACTACATACAAAATTCTGCTAAAAAAGTAAAACTAACGCTGGATTTAAAGAGTGAGCAGCCAATTTCCTTTGTACGTAGCACTTGTGAATTAAAAATGGCAGTTAATAAAGGTTTAATAAATTAAATCTAATGGAGAGTAATGGAAAATCAAAAAAGCCAACAGCTGTTGTATAAGTACTATAAGTGCCACAGACCTCAGCAGGTATGAAACAAGAGGCCTTAATCTTTAAACAAGCCGAACATGTTTTATCACTCATGTGAAACTATATTAATCTGGCAAATAATGTACTGAAAATGGAAATAAGCTTTTTGCAGTAATGGTTGACACAGAAATTGGAAATGCTGTTCAGGTTGCTGCATTATTATTCAAATTTTTGATTTATTAATGTAGTAATCCTGCATAAAATCAGGTCAACCAACACTCAGAATGTCTTTTACTGCCATGTCTCTAGTTGTTGTTGAATTCCAGCAACATTTTTTTTAGAGAATATTATACTTAATATTGACAGCTTTAAATAAAAATCATTGCTTTTTTTCTTTTCTTTTTACATTTTACAAAGGAATCGACGGCCTTTATGTAGCCTAAGAGGCAATTCTTTAACAGTGACTACTCACCAAATGAAAAGTTGTTCCAGGGCTGAGAATTTGTGTTTAATGATGAGAAAGCAACCGACCCTATTTACTCATCAATTAGTATTAGACTGAACAGAACGGTGGGAATGATTTTTTTCAGAGCTCAGTCCACGAGGAACTACCTGTTGCCTGTAAAGATTATTGCTATGAGCCCACTCAGGTCACTTTCATCTGGTGCACTCCTTTGGAATGAACGAAAATATCTCTCATCGGGTTTATGGAAGACAGTGATCAGGCTCCAAAAGAGCGTGCAGAGGAACAAAAAATAGGATTGTGATAAGGTGAAGTCCGCAGGCGAAGCGACACCTTCAGAGATTGAGACAATTTGTCCCTGCAAGCGCCGTCGTTGTTTCTGAGCCACAGCTGATATTAAAAAGCCTGCACTGCAACAACTGCCAATCTGTCTACTGAGATTCATCATTTTCATATCCTGCATGCTCATTTATTCATTGCACTGCGTCAATGTATCCACAGCTTTGTGTCTGATCACATTTTCACTGTTTCTGTCAATAAAAATTTTTGCTTGATTACTTTTGGTTCTTCTGTCCTCCCCTCTTCTTCTTCCTCCTCCTCCCTCCATCCTCTAGAACGCTGAGCCCCAGACGCAATGCCCCAGAGATTTGGTAAGACACCACCCCAACACTAGCAAAACTGCAAACAAACCCACTTCCCCAATACCGCCTCCTCCTTTCACAGCTCCTTTATTGAGCCCCTTTGCATGGAAGTTTTTCATTTCTGCTCAGGAAAAAAGCACTCCAGGTTATCACCCAGCTGAGATGAAAACATGAGCTCAGGCGTGCATCCGGGCTCCACCAGCAAACCAGCTGGTTAATGAAAGTGCAAGTCATATATAAGCGTTAGTCAGTAACACTAATTTTAATCTCCATCCAAAGGTTGCTCTAACAAATCACAATTTCATGGTTCATCAGTGTGGACTGTTGGGGTTTTTGCTGCAGTGTAATTTGCTCCATCTCTCCCCTCAGAGCTGCATTTGTCAGTGAAGGTGGAAACACATGGGAGTTTGCTTTATTTGTTGGCTCTGGATAAGGTTGTCAGTCTGGCCCTTCTTGCTGCAGACTCAGTCGAATGTGTGAGGTGAATAACAAGCAGTCTGTTAAGTTTGTGTTTCACTTTATTAGGGAAACATGCACGGCGAGTCGGCTGTGGATGTCACGATGTCAAACGTACAGTATGAAGTCTGACATGTATCTACCAAATATCCCACATTGTTGCAGTGAACGTACTTTTAATATCAGAGTCGACCTTGTGTGAATAATCAGCTCTCATAAGGATGTACAGTAGTTACAGTACGGTCTCTGTGGCCTGAGCGTTCACACATCACCTTAAAAGGTTCTCCATTGCGGCAGCTGTTAAAAGCTCATCTGTTTTTACTGCCGTTATTAAAAAGCTATTCAGATTTCCATAACTTTCCATTTACATGCCAAACTTGAGTTGTAATTTAACAACCGCAGACTTAACGTCTTCACATCTGGCCTTACGTTCGGGTTGCATCTGGCGAAGTGCAGGTAATTGGTTACGTTTTTTTTTGCGTGCCGCATTAGAAGCGTAATTGGCCAGTTAATTTGATTGGCAGCCATACCTGCTGGCTATGTGGATGATCCTCGTCATGAAGACGCATTATGGCAGGACGCTGATGATTATTGTGACTGCAGCTGGTACGTCTCATACGCGCACATGTTCAGACAAGACGCCGTATATCACTCCATCAGAATTAAACTAGAGAAGCACAACCTGGATGTGTTTGTCTCCCGTTGCTGCCTCTTCAGTGAGAGCTGCTACCACTAGGTGTCACATTATCAGCTGCTGTGGTGTAGTTTTACAATCCAAATGAGAGTTAACAAAGTTTTAGATGTTTTAAGGGACTTTGTGGCTTTAGTTTTGTCTTCTACCTGTATTTTTTTTTATCCCTGACTGTATTTCTGGAAACATCATACCAAGAAAAGTTGCAGAAATATTGCAGAGTGCATCTTTCAGAATTTAGGGGAGTAAATAAGAGTGTTTGATTTCTCTTCCCGCCCTAAAACAAAATCAATGTGACCATATGGATGAGAGCCAGATAGATGGAGGAAATGCACCGTGGTCATGCTGTCTCCTCTCGCCCCCTTTTTGTCTCCATCTCCACTCCCTTTCCAAACTCCAAACGCCCAGATGGGCCTTACCTCTGCTCAACCTTTCCCGGAACATCAACCGCCATAATGGATTCAGCGCCTCTCAGATGTTATCTGTTGTCAGGCGCCTCATTTTAAACATCTCGCTCGCAGAAACAACAACAACAACAGGCAGTGGCACCGCAATGGTGTGAGGCTTTAGAGGCAGAAAAAAGAGCGGGGCAGCTTTTAGTGGACATGTATTTTCAAGTAATAGATATCTTTCCAGCAGAGAAGATTATTATTTCATTATTATTCTCTTGATGTGTTTTTTCCATTAATCAATTAGTCTAAAAAGGCTCAGAAAGCGGTGAAAATTGCAGATAATATAGGCTTTTCACAACTTAAGGCGTTTGTTAATTTTGTTCGACCAAGCATTGAAAAGCGTGTAATTTATATTGATATAAAACATAAAAAAAAGCAGCAAGTTGTCAGGATTGACAAGATGGCAGCAGACTGCCTTAATGGAGCTCAAGTACATCTGTTGATTTTGTTACTATCACGGTTTTATCCCAGCTATTTTGAATCTCTTTGTATGGTGCAATTAGTAATCCAAAAAAGCTGACAGAATGTAGTATGTAGACAGCTTTTAAAAGTGCAGCTTTGCCAGCACTCCAGCTGGGGTTTTTGAGGTTGGCACGCCATGACTCATCCTGTGTGCGAGAGAGAGCTCTGTCGAGGGTTACGCAGCAGACAAAATGCAACTACTGAAGTGGAAAAAGCACTCACTTCTTGAAATCGGTCCAATGACCCAAAATTCACCCATGTTTTTACAGCAGTCCACTAGAGGCTGTCATTAGTCGTGTGACGCTCGGGTTTGTTGTATTTGACTTTCAAGCAGATGTGTCGTGAAAACTTTCTCTTGTTCCTGCACAGAAAAGCTCATTCTTGCTTTAAAAAAAAAAAGCAGCAGCCAGTGGTTTAGAGGATTACTTTCTTTCAACTCCTCGGCCGTGACATTTACACTCATGACCCTCCATGTTTTTGCCTCCATCGTCCCCTCATTACTCACATCCTCACTGACTTGCTGTTAGTACGTTGGTCTCTATTTAAGGGACTCCTGTGTCTAACCTGTTGACTCTGACTGCTCCCTTTAGCATCCACGGCAGCCCGTGACAGCCGGGAAACCCCACTGGCTGATTGAGGTAACTGCTGCATGACATCACCGGCTTGGGCCATTACGCTGTATAGGGAAAAAGGCATCAGAGGCAAATGAGATAGTTTGGGTGGCTGCACAAATAGACTGGGAGTCATTTAAGCAATCCATTGCTTTGCAAATGGTGTGTAAAAACAAAACACTTTGTTGGGTCTTCTCTGCCTCTTCCACACCAGCTTTCACCTCGTCTTTTCTCTTCATTGTGCCTCTCTCTTTTCTGTCTTGGTCGCTTCTCTTCATTTCTTTATTCCACTCCATTCTCTTTCTTTTCTTCCCTCTCTTTCTCTCACACATACTTAAGACACACTTTAAGACGCAAATCCTCTTTCCTGCACCTGGCTTCTACAATAGAACTGATCAAAGGCATCCGTCTTTACATGCCTGCTCTGATAGTTCCATAATGGGCCCATAACGTGAACATTCAGCTCCATTGTTTACGCCATTAGTCACACAGGCTTATGGAAAATTACTGCAATGCTATATTGAAAAGCCATCAGCAGGAGCGGCAGTAATGCTGCAGCTACACCGTGCCAAGATGCTATCTATCACATGTGCATGTTTCCTCTTCTCCCTGCACGCTGAGCTGTTATGAAACAGTAATCCGTTAGCACGTTGTAGTGCAATGATGGAGGATTTCTTGATTGCATGATACAGCGTCCAGCGCAGCAGCATATGTGTTGGCCTTTTTATGACACGGCATCAATATTATTATGCTAAAGTTGACAGCATTTCAGATCATCTTTCTGTTACAGATTTGTAGGTGTGGTTGTATTGTGTAGGAAGGTAACTGCACAACATGTCATGATGCTTTTTCTTTACTATAGCTCACACATATGACACATCAAAGCTGTTGCATTGATGCAGCATCGTTTTATCTGGTGCTCAGTATAACACAACAGGGTCAGCGTGTGAAAATTATTAGCTTAAATTTGCAAAACACAATATTGACAGTGCATGACACATCAACGCTATTGTGCATTGTGTCATGTTTTGACACCATGCAACATATTGTAATTGGTGTCAGTAGTAGTTACAACAAATAATGGAGCAGTAAGGTGTCAGTTTGTCTAACCGCGGCATCGTAATGGCTTGATTTTGCAAAAACGTCACATTATAAAATGATCTACAGATGGACAGCAAGTTTGTGCGATGCATTGAAACATAAACACAGTGGGACAATTCATATGTTCATGTCAATTCATAGTGTCAACTGTAAAGATGTGATTATCTCTTTTTTTTATTAATGGTAATAAAACGTACAGCAGTTGGTAAAGCTACCTGGTTTATTTTTTAATAGGAATAATACACTGTTGCCATGACGATGATATATAACCCACCACTGGAAAGCACAACACTATTAATCATTTGCTTTTAGCTTAATGCTAAAAGTACAAAGCAGCATCGACTTGTGTCATGATTGCATCACATCTATAAATCAAATTCAGCAAAAGATGTGCGATGATATTTTCGACTCATGCCATGTGAAGTGCGGCCGTTTCCATTTAGGCGGCTTCCATCGGTGGAGTCAGCTGACTTCAGCTGCGACTGTTGGTGCAGCTGATGTCAGCATCAACATAAATCTAACAGACCATCAAACACACAGTGCCAACGTCAAGTCTCCTCATGTCAAGTGTCATAAGTCAGTGCACAACTTTCATATACAGCAAGACAAAGCATGACTGTTGAAAGTCGTCCATTTACCTGCAGTCTGTTAAAGCCTTTCTCCTGTCATTGAGTAACTCTTCTGTTTGTATCAAAGTTACATGTTTAGAAGTTCATTCATGGCTAACATGTGTATAGATGGAACTGTAGAAGTCGAAGATACACTATATGGACAAAGGTATTTAAACACACCTGCTAGTCATTGAGTTTGTGAGTTTCATTCAGGTGCATAAAAACCAGCACATAGCCCTGCAGACTGCTGCCTCCAGAGGTGTGGGAACAGTTTTCTATTCCAGCATGGCTGTGCACAAAGCAAGATCCATATAGACATGGTTTGGTGCGTTTGATGTGGAAGAACTTGACTGGTCTGCACAGAGCCCTGACCTGAACGCCATCCAACACTTCTGGGATGAGCTAGAACAGAGATTGTGGGCCAGGCCTTCTAGACCTCACGGGTTCTCCTCTGGATGAATAGGCAGACGTTCCCACAGGTACACTCCAAAATCTAGTTTAAAGCCTTCCTAGAAGAGCGAAAACTGTTTTAGCTGCAAAGGGGGACCAAGTTGATTATAGAAGTCACGGCCACGTGTCCAAATACTCTTGTCCATGTAATGTTGATGCAACTTCACGTTATAACCTCTTCTAGAATGTGCAGATCTATGAAACCCCAGCTCTCTTCATGCACCCTTTTTTTTTTTTACTCTCAGCAGCCTGAGCACACCAGCTCACCTACGACTCTAGTCAGGCAATTTAAAACCATTCTACACGATGGCAACGTGTGATATGGAATTAATTCTGTCACGTTTTTGAGATGGTCGTCAATACGCTGCAGTTTTAATGCAGCCATGTCGTCCAACGCTTATTACATGTATGATAATGTCTTCTAGCATACAAAAAACACCACATGGACATGTTGTGTTGGTCTAAGACTAAACATTTTCCTTATATTCCACATTTACCTAGCAGCCTCTGAAATATGACTCATCAGTATCCAGAGTGCTTACCATTGGCTGCACCGTGACCACGTCCTGCAACTTTAAATAGTTAAATGCATTTAACTCAAAATTCATATATGATTTTGAGTAAACGGCAGGCATTTGGGGATACTTGATGCTTTAACTTGGGTAAAGGAGCTGTGTACCTCCACTGCAGCCACCTGAGTGTTTTTAGCAGCAGCACAGCAAAGAAATCGCCGCTGCTGGAGTTACATAACTTTGTATCATTATTAGCACAATAGAATGGCCGCCGCCGTGATTAATGGCTGCAGCTCCGTGGCAGCAGGCTCGATGCTGTTTCAGTGTTCTGTAGCGGCCTGCTGGTGACACATACGAGTCAATCAGAGAGGGCCGTTCTGCCATGAGAACAGGCTTTCTGGCTTAATTAAAGTGATGTTTCAAGCTGCCACCTGGCCCGTACGCGCACACACACACACACACACACACACACACACACACACACAGAGGCATCACAGCCACCCATACAGCTATACACGCACACGCTCGCAATGTACAGCTACACCGACTATACGGAGGCTTTTACACGTCGCAAAAAACTCCCCCAAAAAACGCACAAGCCATATGGCGCGCTACACATTCGCACATAAGTATACTCACACACTAGTGCACACATACGTGGAGGGACTGGGAGCAGCTGCTGGTATAATTGCTTGGGGTTGGATGAGGTTATAAATGGTTTCTAGTGGCCGAGAGAGGGAGAGAAACCGGGCAGCTGATTAGTTTTGGACAGCAAGTAAGGAGTGTGTTGACTCTTCCTCCAAATGCTGCAGTTGAGGCACCACGTTTCCGCGGCTGTTCATACCGACACCTGTGCACACGTGTGGATCTGCTTTTTCATCCCGTCTCGTCGTCGATTTTTTCTGTGACGCACATACACCTGCCTTTCTTTCCTACCCTTCCACGCTGCGCCAGTCTGAGCTCCGTCGATCGCGCAGGTATTTGATATTCATGGTCTATCAGTGTGGAGCTGTGGCGAGACGCATCGGAGAGAAGGCAGGGAGGGTGAGGGGAGTAGGAGGGACGAGAAGGAGGGAGTAGAAGAGGAAACGAGAAGGAAGCGAGTGGTGGAAGGATGAAGGTGAAGGGAGACCAGAAGTGGGCAGGTGTGTCCCCATACTTATGGCGAAGAAGGCAAGATGCGAGACAGGATGGAGATATAGAGGCGAGGAGTGTGAATGGGAGTGTTGAATGTAGTGATAGAAAGTCAGGGAGAGAGTATGAATAAGCAGAGATAGATTGTGCTACAGTAGGCAGCCAACAATGGTCTCCACGCCCGACTTCTCTCGACCAATTACACCCTTCAGTGCCTCTTTTTCACCTCCCTCCCTCTCCCCTTCTCTCCCTGCAATTGTCACCTCCCTCCCTCCCTCCCTCCTCCATTCTGCCTTTCTCTCTTTTTTTTCCTTTAAAAAAAAAAAATTCCCCCTCAATCGATTTTTCCAGATGCCATCAAATCGACAGGTTTGCATGACCGTAGTCGAGCTCGCCGCCAAACCGCTAATCATTTCAGGCGCTGCTGCAGCGGAGGGGAGTGTGCGAGGGTGAAAGGAGGAGGAGGAGGAGGAAGTAGAAGGGCGAGTTTGATTTCTCGTAATGCTAAAGATTGACTCACTCTGTAGAATACAAAGGAGGATGGAGGCTTTGAGAGAGTGAGACGTGCATTAGATGTGTGGAGAAGGTGGGAGAGGAGGCGAGTAAACCAAGAGCAGGAAGCTTCAGAAAGCAGGTGGGAAAGAAAGAAGAAAAGGTGAAAGGTTTATAACACATGACAGGTAAAGCATGTAGTAGTAACCTGTTCAATTCAAAAATGGGGAAACAAGGTACGTCCACAGTGGCAGTTTCAGATTTTTTGCCATATTGATGGTCGACACTAACACGCTAAACACCAGTAAAGCATAAAAAACTGCTTTTTTCTTCTTCTTTCAGTTGGCAAACTATGAATTGCAGCCAACATCTGGTCAGGAGTTGGAAACACAGCCTCAGTTTCAGCTTGTAAAACTGCTCACATGCACATTGCTGTAAAACATAGTTTATTTGTTCCCATGTACTGTTTCAGTTGTTGGACGGCGGAACAAGCGGAAAATTAGAATTTGACTTTGGCTTATGGATGCCACCTGTTAACCAGACAACCTGCAATTTCCTATGTTTGCTGCTTCAAGCTCAGGTTTGCAGAAACGTGCCTCGTCCGATATTGGAATCAGGGGCAGGCATTTTCAGATTTTCTGCAGCTCAGTTTGTAAAAATGAAAAACAATGACTCCTCAAATTTAGCTGGTTTAATACGAGCATACTCTTAGAAACAAATAAGATCC